GACAACTGGGCCACCAGTGCCCCCTCGTACAGGAGGAAGCAACGAGTAGAAATAGACTTCAAATACAACCATCTAACCTTTGGACTGTGTGTCATGACCCAGGTACAGCAGGACCGTGTCGGAATAGAAATCGGAACAAATGAAATATTTCGATTGACCGGCTCACATGCTTTACAACGACAGATATTTCAAATATATTGGGGATTATTTCCGAGATATCTTAGATCATAAATTAGCGTTACTTAAGAAAGTATGGCTCATTGAAAATGGCAGCAGTTTTGGCAACAGTGCAACATGCACAGGTCATGTTGAAAAACATAAGGCTGGTGATATGGTCATCAAAAAACATATTGAAACCTCATCAACCACAACAATATACTGCAGTTGGAATATATAGAGCCAAAACAGGGAATAACATAAATAAAGAGGAAAGCCAAAGGGTTCGCCAAAACATGGACCTATTTTTTAATGGACACACACACACCCTGGCAAACAACACAATTCTCAACAGCACATTTTACAAATATATTAATGTCAGTAAACTTTCCACCGACATATTGTGCTAAAATAACTTTGCATCCTTTCTGAAATATCAAATAGTATGTCTCCAGAGAGAATTAAGACAATTTTATAAAAGGTCACACAGAGTATTATAACACCACTAAAATGTTAAGCCAATGATATCATCAGTTCACAAAGTATGCCAATTTGCTCGTCTTCATTTTTTATGCGGCATGTCAGTTATACAGAGATTTAAAGATCAGATGAGCTTTTCCAGATGGTTTTATTACTTGTACGATATGATCACTACTTTTTCTTTTATCTAACAGTGGTTAGGTAAGTATATATGCAAATGTTGAACAAATACTTGTGTGTTCTTTGTTCAACAATTCTGCAACAAAGTGACCTTTAAAGCTTGCCGTAAAGCTGTTGTTTAGAAAGGCTTGTGCCGAGCCAGTCCAGAATTATCACTTAAGTAAGTTTGCATACATGTGCACAGACAAAACGTAACAACTCGATCGAGTTACCGTCTTCATCTTGACAAAGGTTAACATTTTGAGAATCGACATTCACAGACCAATCAAGCTAACATCAAAGTAATTTATATATTGGCGACGAGACACAAGTGTCGAAAAATGTCATCTTGCTTACGGTGAATATTCTTCAGACAAGAGCGAGCTACTGGTATATCCGTCTCGATTAGATACAAGGTGACTAGACAGCATTGATTGACCAGGCCTAGTGAGACAGCCATCTCGGCACACACCACCAGCGACAACATTTGCATTAATGTCCAATCAGACACTCTACATTATGTCTAAAAGTTGCATTAAGTAAACTTTTTTGATTTGCTAAAAGTTTATCGGAGCCACTGATGCTAAGCAAAGAGCATATGTACAATACTCAGTTAACCCTCCATGTGCTGAAGATGTCACAGAAGATGTCTCACATCAGGGCAGGGATGTGAGAGGGTTTGATTCATAACAAATCATGTATCTGTTCCTCAGACTTTATCCTACTTCATCACATCATGAAAGATAGTCATGGGTTTGTCTTCCTTTCCTTCTCACCTGGGTGTAAAAGTCTGGCAGAGAACCAGCTGATCAGACAAGGAAACTGACAGACATGCATTTATGTATTGTTTTAGAACTAATGAAGGCAACGGGAAAATATCTGCAACAAGTTTCCTTGCCTGAAACTGTTATCTGTCATGTTATTTGAGAAATGAATCTAAAATCGTACTCTACTGATCATCAACAATTCATCAACGAACATTGCCACAATTCATCACTATTCAAATCTAACTTCTTAATGTCTTCTGCTATTACTCTATCTAATCCTATCTAACATACCCCTGTTATACAGAGTGAGTGAATATGGTTTTACGTGGCTTTTAGCAATATTCCAGCAATATCACGGCGGGGGACACCAGAAATGGGCTTCACACATTGTACCCATGTCGGGAATCGAACCCGGGTCTTCGGCGTGACGAGCAAACGCTTTAACCACTAGGCTACCCGACCGCCCCTCTTTTTATACAGGAGGCAAACAGGACACAGAATTGTTGTTTTCATCTAAATCTTCACCCAGATGACTTTAAAAATGGCCAGCATGTATATTCACAAAGAAATATTCATCTGGCCTTTAGCCTTAATATGCTTGAGTTATTTGACTAGGTGACTTATAGAAGTCAAACTGATGGATCAAACAAAATATCCTTTCATTCACACAGAGGCTATCTGTGACATGACAGGGACTTCCCCGTCTCCTATACACTGCCTACATTGTCTATGGCCAACAAGACAAGCCAGGATGGCATCCACCTGTATGTACTTACACGGTAGTCATGTCAGCTAGAGGTTGGCCGCAACCAGAATCAAGGGAAGCAACTCCAGACAAGATCTGCATGTACACCCTCTGCATCCGAGCTGCTATGGAACTAGTCTTCAGCACAGTTATATAAGATGGCGTATGTACGTAGGTGCTAATATCACTGTCACACCCTCATTCAATTACCTTATAAAACCGTTAAATTTCAAAAATAGTTTAACTTCAACCATCATTTCTTGCAATTTCATTTTAGATTTTTCAACACAAGTCCTTTCATTACAGTACATAAAGATTCAAACTAATGAGGAACGTTTCCCAATACATTTCTGTCGACACCGTATGCTCTTAAATTGACAGAGACAATAATGGAAGCCATCCCATCCTAATTCTTCATTCTGACCATGCTTCTTATGGAAGTATAGAAAAGGTTACATTACGTCATGTCCTATCATATATCAAACACTCAAGAAATATACATGCCATGCCTACCTTTGCATGATCCCATCGTGATATACGTAACCTATTTCTTTATCAAAAACACTTCTAAATAAAGATTACTCCAGAAACGTACAGCGGAATACTTTAATGGAATTCAATGTCGATAGGAAGGTGTGTGCTACTAGCCGCATTCACTCAAAGACTGACGTCATTTAGTCTGGTTCCCAAGAACTAAATTCAAAATAGCTTCACCTTTTCTGAATTAAACTCAAACCATCTCTAAACCTAAGCTTCAAAAAAATCTTCAATACTAGAAGTAGGCTGTGGATAAAGACACTCTATTCAGTATGAATGAGGTCGTTTACCAGGACTACAGACAGCCACTGATGCAATTCACTGTATCCTCACATCACAAGGAAAAAAAATATCATACATGTGTACAACTTTATTTGATGTCACGAGACAAGACGACAGTTACTCTGCCCTACATTTTCTGTCTGCAACAAAAGAATGCACACAAAGCCTTTGTGCTTATTTCTATTTTGGATTTTACTATTTTCAACACTGAAATTGATTCCAACAACCCTTTGACTTTATGAGAGGTTATAGATAATCTCTGCGGTTAATAGACTAGCCTAAGAAGTGCCATATCGGCTATTAATTCCCGCTCACTGCGTCACCAGACGAAGCTGGCAAGTGCAGCAAGCCCCTATAGGCAGATGTGATACATGTATATCTGCGCGACTTGTCTGCACATTCACTCGCAGCTAGACTGCACTCGCCGGGACGGAGATCAATACACAGTTAACGTGTAGCGACAACCTCGGCGGCTGTGTGATCGGGTAAGTTGAAGTGTGTGCCTAGTGTCTAGTCAACCCTCCCTCTCGGCACAGCAACCACTTCCATTACAGCAACTTGCTGTCTAACACGGCCTTATTAGTCAGCAAGTTGACTGTACACTGCAGGACAAGCGGAGATGCGGACAGGCCGAGTGTCACTCCTTCTTAAAGATTCTCCTCTCGGGTACAGGAGGCAAAAGTGGCATTAATTGCTCAAGCTAGACATATTTGGTCTTGGGGCTACAGTTTATAATATCCTTATTTCCGATGGACTTTCTGCTCTTTGCAGTCTTTTCTGTACACAAGTTCCTTACATTTTCAATCAAATAAATTTATTATGTTATTGGAATATAAGAACAAGTGCAGAAGCTTGTATCAGTAATTTTGGAAACAGCTGAGAACACTCATGTGAAAGGCTTTCAGTCATTAAACTTTTAATGATATGGATGATAGAGTGTTCAAGTACACATGATAGTAGCAATGTCAGAGCAGAGTGAGTGAGTGAGCGGGCATGGTAAACCTAGAAATAAAATTAGGAGTAATCTAGAATTTGCACCAAGGAGCCTGCATTAGAGTTGCTACACTGCACAGTGGATTACCCATATGCAATCACATTGTGCAACAGTGCTAAAACAATAGTAATCCCACTGTGCAACAGCTTGAAAACAATCGCAAACACATTGTACAACAGTTTAAAACAATCATAATCACATTGTACAACAGTTTAAAACAATGGTAATCACATTGTACAAGTTTTAAATACAATAGTATTAAAACATTGGCAAACATTGTTGTACAGTGTTGAAGTATAATCACATTAATGTACAGCCTGGAAGTACAATAATCACATTGTTGTACATTGTTGTACACTAAACAGTGACATTATGCCAGGTAGTCCAGAGCATACAGTGGAAGCCCCTGGGATGTATCCAATGCCTGGTAGTTTCAAACTGATAGCCTAGTCGTGGCCAATGTCTACAATATTTACCACAATTTTAACCTGACTGTATGTTAAAAATCTTTAGTTTAAAATAAGTTAAAACTTTTCCTGACAATTCAAACTCAAAATGTTTGAATAGCCCAACTTAATAGGTCTTCAGCAAACAATGCTTGTCACAAGAGGAGACTAACTGGATCGGGTGGTCATCGTAATCATGTCATCGTATCCAAATTACGTAGATCGATGCTCATGATATCAATAACTGGCCTGTCTGGTCCAGACTTGATTATTTACAGACTGCCATCACATAGCTGGAATATTGCTGAGTGCAGCGTTAAACAACAAACAAACAAAAACACAAGTTGGAATTTGTTTAATTTAAATAAAATGCATATAGATGCAAAAATGTAGATTTAAATGTGTTTATTTCTTGTAATATAAATGTTACTTACCTAACATGTAGTACGTTCTGTTTGATGGCTAGGTCAGATGTGAATGAGGTTGAGTTGAATGTGTCAAATCCCGCATAAGTCAAACTATTCATGTGGTTCCCCAGGAGTTCGAGACAACGACGTTTGACTCTATAAAAGAAGTTAAAGAACACCCGATATATTCATATGACTATAGTTAATTTGTCATCACATGAAGATTAACTTTAGTCCTATGGAAAAATTAGGTGTTCTTTAACTTTAGTTGAGTAATATACATATAATTCAATGTGACAACAACAGAACCAAATAAACACCTTCAGCTTGCATTGAAAGTTAATATTATGATTTCTCTCATGATGCATGAGAGGTGAGTTGGCATAAAGGGGAATCTTCCTTTGCACCTACATGTATATATACATCCAACAGCTTTCTGACATCCTACCTGAGCCACAAGACACCCGCAGTTACCTCCCTTGCAAATGCATACCTCAATACACTGAAGAACTAATGAACAAGCATCTTGTTGCCTGACTGTGGTACGGCAGGTAAATCACTTTATCCTTCTCCTGCACAGCTACAAACTAACGTAAGCCTCCAAATTTCATTCAATAATACCCTCCCGACATTTCAAGGTGTGCCCAAACTCTATCTGACATCAGCAAAGATCACCTGTACAACTCCTTCAGGTCGTCTACAAACATTACATACAAAGACAAATAAATCAAACAAAAGCAATCTTTTATTCATTTAGCAGTCTGTGACTTAGCCCCTTGTCCAAAGCCCAAGTCAAGTAAAATTCTGTTTGGTCTACAGTTTCGGGGTGCTTCATAAAATCAACATCTTTATAAAGAGTTACCTCCCTTAGACCACATTCCTTTTTTTCCAGAGGGCAAAACATTCAAGTCGTTAGTCCTCATATCACGGGTCTAGGAATTCATTTGAAAATGAACTACTGGTAATTTCTACAAATCCTGTGGCTACCATAGGTATTGAACATGTTACTTCTGGTCAGGGGACTACTGACAGTTTCTGATGCAAGTCTACATCTTGAATACTATAATAATAATTTATTGATAAAACACCGAGTTCCAACTAGGCTGCCCACAGGTGCTTGACATTATTATTACCCCAGTTAATGAATCAGTGCTCACTTGATTTTCATTCTCAGCTCCCTTGGGAGTATAAAACCCAAGGTTCCTGTGAGTGAGTGAGTGAGTGAGTTTGGTTTTACGCCGCTTTTAGCAATATTCCAGCAATATCAGGGCTGGGGACACCAGAAATGGGCTTCACACATTGTACCCACAAGGTTCCTGTGAGGCACTAGGAGGTTAACACAGTCACATTATCATATCATCCTACCGGGTACCCCTTCACTGCTGGGTGAACAGAGGCACATTTCGAACAAAGTCCCTTGCCTAAGGAGACACCACATGTTACATGTGCTTCAGTGTGGGGCAGCCCAAGAAACTGTCACAAGTCAAGCTTACTACATAAAGGCAATCTCACCAGTGTTTTCTGGGTATCAAATGTGTCATGTCATTCAAAATCACTTTTTAAAATTTGATGATCATGTTGTTGTTTCAAACTGCCTTTAAATTTTTAAGGCATATCACAGTATAAGCAAATATCAGTTTGAACCTTTTCCTGTCGAAGTGATATGAGCTCACTGTGTAATCAAATCTACATATTTACATATATATTTTCAAAACACAAAGCTGAATGGAACATCGTTTTTTTTATAAAGATATAGGTTGGTCAAGAGATAACTTATTCAGAAGTACCACAAGTCTGTAGAAGCGCCAACATTCCCTTGTGATGTCACAATTGAACAAGTGACATCACACTGTAACTTTGTTATAGTATGATGTCACACATAAGGAACATATTTGGCATTGCAATCAATCAACTTCTTTCGAAAATATGCTGTTAACTATGTTATCTACACACAAAAATCAAATTAGCAAATTTGAGTTTCTATGTAAAAGAAATAAAAACAATCAATTTTGTTAGATTTGAACACTTCAACTTCATGCTACACTGTATATGCTTAAGTCAATAGACCAATAGGCCATTGGGAGTTAAAATATACATATATAGATCCATTCAGCTACTGAATGTATGCACAAGAACTACACAATCATAGGGCACTTAACTTAACTTAATCATAAACATACTAACTTGTATTTTATCAAAAAGTGAAAACAAGAACTGATATTATCATATTTACATTGATATTAGAACATTTCTACAGCTAATGGGGCAATATCTTTTACACCCTTTTGTCGAGAACATGCATGTGACATGATGTCTAAAAAGTCAGGTGAAATAAAATCTATAGCACATCCTCCCTCTCTCTATATATCCTTCAATAACAAGCACTGTTCAGCACACTGGACAATGCCCTTCTACAACAACGTTAACACTGTGGAAGGTGATACCAGGTCATAAACCACCCCATCCACTGTTTGAAGACTACTTAACTGAGGTCATTGTGAGGTCATCCTCAGGTCAACATGTGGCTGTGGGAAGGGGAGGGGGGTGTCTGACCACCACTGGGACATTTCATTATCCTGCCTAGGTTTGCTTGGCACTAAGCCTGACAAGGCTGGAGACAACACTGTCATGCAGTGATAGCCCACCTGTCCCTTACCTGCTATCACCTGTGTGGGCATCAGGCAGCCATTATCTCAAATATTTACACCCCTTGTCATACATATTGTAATTACAAGTAAAAAATATCATCTATTCCAAATCTCAAAATTCCCAAATTCTATATAAGCAACCCCTAAATCCCCTTTCGCCCCTTTCGGGCCCGTGTGCGAAATACGCATCAGTCGGAAAGCGCACGTCAAATCTCCAAAGTAAGTAAGTAAGTAAAAAATATCACTCTCACACAACTACCTATCATTTACAGGCAATCCATGGAATCCAGACCATAGACCATAATGATAACAAGGTAGAAACACTATATGGATAACAACTTCTTTACTCTGCTATTATGGCAACGTTTCAGTATAGACTTCCTTGACAACTATCTGCATCAAAATTTCGCAATAACAGTACATTAAAAAAGTTGTTTCTTAGAAAAACTTATCAAACATAACATGCACCCACTCACTCATGCACCCATACACACACATTGCTTTTGGTTTCCTTGTTTGGATGTCAGTCCAGGGTGGTTGGGAGGGTTCCCACAGAAGACTTTTGTCCAAACCAGCAAAACCATAACACATGCTGAACGTTGTTTTGTCTCAGGCCCATCTCTGGGACAGTGAATAATGGTTCATGTATTTAAAGCAGAATATTCAAAAGTTTTCCACTACCTTGATACTGACATACAGGCATCTGCTTAATGCATAAATATGTTTCCTAAATGTTATGACGTCATGTAACGTCATAGTTCTCCTAAATACTATAACATCATGGAACGTCATAGTTCTCCCAAATGTTATGACGTCACGTAACGTCATAGTTCTCCTAAATGTTATGACGTCACGTATCGTCATAGTTTTCCTAAATGTTATGACGTCACGCAACGTCATAGTTCTCCTAAATGTTATGACGTAACGTCATAGTTCACCTAAATGTTATGACGTCACGTAACGTCATAGTTTTCCTAAATGTTATGACGTCACGCAACGTCATAGATTTCCTAAATGTTATGACGTCACGCAACGTCATAGTTCTCCTAAATGTTATGACGTAACGTCATAGTTCACCTAAATGTTATGACGTCACGTAACGTCATAGTTTTCCTAAATGTTATGACGTCACGTAACGTCATAGTTTTCCTAATTGTTATGACATCACGCAAAGTCATAGTTCTCCTAAATGTTATGACGTAACATCATAGTTCACCTAAATGTTATGACGTCACGTAACGTCATAGTTTTCCTAAATGTTATGACGTCACGCAACGTCATAGTTCTCCTAAATGTTATGACGTAACGTCATAGTTCACCTAAATGTTATGACGTCACGTAACGTCATAGTTCTCCTAAATGTTATGACGTCACGCAACGTCATAGTTCTCCTAAATGTTATGACGTCACGCAACGTCATAGTTCTCCTAAATGTTATGACGTAACGTCATAGTTCACCTAAATGTTATGACGTCACGTAACGTCATAGTTTTCCTAAATGTTATGACGTCACGCAACGTCATAGTTCTCCTAAATGTTATGACATCATGCAACGTCATATTTCACCTAAATGTTATGACATCTAGTAACTATATGTTACAACTTCATGTCCGTTATTCAGTAATGGCCTGATGAGGCATACGTGGTACGAGTTGAAATGCTAGCTAACTTAAACTGTGTTCAATCTTAGCATCATCATTTGCTTCATTCAGTGTCAAGATGATGAGAGCCAGTGGAAGAACAATTTTTGACACAATAATCATGTGTACCTGAAGATGATGTTAGCAAGTATCTGAGGTAAGCACAGGTAAGCACAGGTAAGCACATTGAAGCACTTACCTTTCTCCACTGAGGCAGCTGGTACAACTGAAGACATGGTGTGATGCACAATTAGATCTTAGAAATAGAGAGCAACTATTTCACACTTTACAACTATTACCAAGACAACAAACAATTTTGATAATATGATTTGTCATGCCGAATAATGTTGTTTGGTTTAAAGAATCATTATTGTGCACCACACCATCCAACAGCAGAAAGCAAGCTACAGTAGCAGAGCCAAGGAAAATATCATAGTACTGACTGCATAATGACACAATAAGTCGTGGATAAAAAAATATTTGAAAAATACTTTCACACAATTGATTCGCATGAGAATTTAGTATTCATCACAAATTCTTTTTTTCAAACTCCTTTTTCAATCATTATAATTCTATTTGTATTCTCAAATATTTCTGATAAAAAGCAGAGAAATAAAACTTACTGATGGTATTTCACTCAAATTGACAGCAGGTGATCGATTCTTCTCCCTTCCTTACTGCATCACTCACGATATATTGTGTCACATGCAACCATTACAACATTGTAAAATCATGAACAGTAGATATTGCAAAACATTGCTTTAATGAATATTTTACTTCATAGGAACTGATTGACTAAATTTCATATCAGGGTTTAATCGACCCTTATGTGCATGGTCTTACCAAGGAAGCAAAAGGACCTTATACTAAATAAGAAAAACAGCTGACAATAGTTGCCTTGTTTTGCAATACTCACAATTCTATTAAAGAAATAACAAAGGCACACATGTTGTAGAGCCATTTATTCATGATATGAGATGAAATTGATGAAGAAAAATACAACACAGAATGAAATGCCCTAATATGTGAATGCAATTATTATACAATTATCCATGCAAGAAACTATCTACTGGATACTGCATTCATTGATGAGTTAGTTTTGCTGATTCAAGGAACATAAAGCTTCTTAATAACATTTGTTCAAGAAGGCATTGAAGTTACACCTGCATGACAGCAGTGATACAGGTGGTCTCAAACTATGGTTGATAAATGCAAGGTTGCCATGATCAGAATTTACATTTCAAGGTTGATAAGGGAGATAACTACATTGGTGAACTATGCAGTGAGAGTTATCCCCCTTCATTCCTTACAACATGTAAAATCTGACTGCCAGTATGATACAGGTGGTCTCAAACTGTGGTTGAGAAATGCAAGGTTGCCACAATTAAAATGTACATTTCAAGGTTGATAAGGGAGATAACTATGCAGTGAGAGTTATCCCCCTTCATTCCTTACAACATGTAAAATCTGACTGCCAGTATGATACAGTCGGTCTCAAACTGTGGTTGAGAAATGCAAGGTTGCCACAATTAAAATGTACATTTCAAGGTTGATAAGGGAGATAACTATGCAGTGAGAGATATCCCCCTTCATTCCTTACAACATGTAAAACCTGACTGCCAGTATGATACAGTCGGTCTCAAACTGTGGTTGAGAAATGCAAGGTTGCCACAATTAAAATTTACATTTCAAGGTTGATAAGGGAGATAACTATGCAGTGAGAGTTATCCCCCTTCATTCCTTACAACATGTAAAACCTGACTGCCAGTATGATACAGGTGGTCTCAAACTGTGGTTGAGAAATGCAAGGTTGCCACAATTAAAATGTACATTTCAAGGTTGATAAGGGAGATAACTATGCAGTGAGAGTTATCCCCCTTCATTCCTTACAACATGTAAAACCTGACTGCCAGTATGATACAGGTGGTCTCAAACTGTGGTTGAGAAATGCAAGGTTGCCACAATTAAAATTTACAAGGTTGATAAGGGAGATAATCATGCAGCGAGAGTTATCCTCCTTAGTTCATCACACAATGCTATGCTGCAGCTCTGGGTTATGGAAAACTGAGGCAAAATGGCATAGCATTAGAAATAATAGCCATATCCATTTTGCTTGCTTAATATACATATATGATGTAATATAGGATCAAGTTAAATTGGTTTGGTAAGTGTCAACAGTACAATATATTTTAGAAGAAAATCTCAAGGGTTTTGTCAACACTGAATTCCAAACAGTGAAACTGGACATAAATTCAATAAAATAATACATGATGTAAGATTTCTGGATATTACATTAAACTCTGAACTGCCAAGACCCAAGATCAGTTCACTAGATCTAATTCAATCATTTATCTTCTATTATATTTCATTTGTTGCGCGACTGTCCAACCTTGAGAATTACTTCCTCAATACATTAGATGTCAAAAGATGTAAATTTCTCTGACGTGTGATGTTGAAGGCACAGCCTAACATGATGTGTGGTCCAGGATGTCTTCAGCGCCACTCATAAAGAAACCACAGCAAGCTCAGCAAAGTGAGTGGCTTGCAGGAAATAGCACCAATTTGAAATTTTCCAGTAGGGTGAAATGTGCCACAAATTCATTAAACATTGATAATTGATACAGTAGTTTTAAGTAAATGTCCATGCATGTTTTTCTTTGGAATATATTTTGCTTGTGAACATAGTATGAAGTGTTACACCACAATAAACAAATAGAACTATGCACCCTGGACTACACACAGAGATAAGACAGGAAAGATGGCTGATCTAGAAGACTACAGGTGGACTGGACTATACAGATGAAGGAAGGAAAGAAGGCTTATCTAGAAGACTACAGTGGACTGGACTATACAGATGAAGGAAGGAAAGAAGGCTTATCTAGAAGACTACAGTGGACTGGAGTTCACAGACCAAGGAAGGAAAGATGGCTTATATAGAAGACTACATGTGGATTGGACTATTCAGAGGAAGGAGGGAAAGATGGCTTATCTAGAAGACTCCAGTGAACTGGAGCTTACAGACCAAGGAAGGAAAGATGGTTTATAGAGAAGACTACAGGTGGATTGGACTATTCAGATGAAAGAAGGAAAGAAGGCTTATCTAGAAGACTACAGGTGGATTGGACTATTCAGAGGAAGGAAGGAAAGATGGCTTATATAGAAGACTACAGGTGGATTGGACTATTCAGATGAAGGAAGGAAAGAAGGCTTATCTAGAAGACTACAGTGGACTGGAGTATACAGATGAAGGAAGGAAAGATGGCTTATCTAGAAGACTCCAGTGAACTGGAGCTTACAGACCAAGGGAGGAAAGATGGCTAATCTAGAAGACTACAGATGAAGGAAGGAAAGAATGCTTATCAAGAAGATTACAGTGGACTGGAGTAAACAGATGAAGGAAGGAAAGATGGCTTACCCTAGAGGACTACCAGGTAGACTCTCCTTGCCGGAAATGCCACTATCTGTGGAGACAGATGACCGTGAGAGCGGGGCGACGGGGAAGGTCTGGACCTGGTCGCTCAGCAGGACTGTTGGTTTGCCCCCTGTTAGGATGCTCATCACATTCGGGGTCACCTGAGTGAGCATGGTGCTCTTCAGTCCTGGGATCCCATCACCCTGAAGGAACTGAGTTGTATCTGAGGTACATTTTGTTGAAATCCCTTGAGTGTTATTGAGGTAACGACCTGTTGAGGTCAAAAGAAGTTTATCATGGTCGCCCAGAGCAGAATGCTGCTGCCCTGTAGCTGCAAAAGCCACGAAGGCTGCCGCCGGCAAGGTGCCGGTACTGCTGGGGCTGATGTCTGGATGGTACTTGAGGTCAACGTCCACCCCACGGCCAAACGGAGCGCAAACCTTCTTGAGAGACAAGTCATAAGGCTCGGAGGTCGTAGTCTGGCTGTGAGGCGAACACACTGAACTGTTATCCTGTAGGTACGGAGGTAGCTGATTCACTAGAGCACTTGCCCCTGAAAATGTAGTCGAGGTACACGATCTGGTCAATGAGGTATTAGAAGGAGGTAGTTGGATCATCGACTGACAGAATGCAGGGACAACATTTGGCTGCTGCTGCTGCTGCTGCTGAGGATGCTGCTGCTGCTGATGCTGGTGCTGCACCTGAGTGATGACTGTCTCTGAGACAAGTTGCTGACCCTGACGTTCAAGAACCTGAATATAATGCCCCTCGGTAGTTTTGGATGCCAAAACATGACCAAAAGGTGGCATGTTTTTGCCGGGCATTTTGAGAGAAAGGGTATCATGTAAGTTCTTTTCCCTTTGGGCCCTTCCTGAGGCTGAGCTAGCTGCCGTGGCATTCTTGTCAGGTCTGGGGTTGTCTAGGTGTTCTGCATTGTGGGGTGGAGATTTCCCTTTCCTTGCAGGAAGGGAGGTCTCAGGGAGGTATTCCACTTTAACAGATTCATCACGTTTTGCACAAAGTTCTTTCAGAATATGAACATGTCCCTTATTGTCATGGGCCAGTTTCTTTGACACCCCCTCCCTACCATGCTTAGACTTGGTTGGTGTTTCATCCTCCCCAGATGATGCCGGTGGTGTTGCTGCCGGGGTGGATGCTGCCGTCGCCAACTCAACATTGGTGAGTTTGGAAAGCTCCTCTTTGGATAAAAACTGCTCAGCAGATGTAGGCCCTGATTTTGGTTTCTTTGGAGGAGGCATAATGTTGCGAGGGGACCTATGTGCATTCTCTGCTGGCAGACTTGCGGATGATCATGTTGACATAGAGATGCAGGTCCCACAATCTGAAACACCAACAAACAAATCAGAATCAAGGAAATAAGAACGGCAGACAAAATATGTTCTTTCAATCACCTGACAACACTTATTTTATTCTATCAACATGTTTCTAATATATCTTTGACCTTGCTTTTACCTAGCTTTTCAATAAGGTCACAGATGTTTGACCTTTAACAAACTCAAACATGAAGCCATCCCTGTAAATAATTATCTGGGCAATCTTCAGCTCACAAAATCCTGGATAAGACAATTATCAAGCAAAATTATCCCTACAAAGTTATATTATATAAGACTTAAAAGAAAACTTTAAAGCCATAATTTGCAAATATAACTATATTCACAAATGCTGTTATCCAAACACCTTTTATGTCAATCAAGATATGTGCACTGATTACAAAGTTGCTATTCATCCACCCTGTGTCAGAGGCAGCCAATACACAGACAGGAATCACACTAGGGCATCACATCTTGTATCCCCTTGTGAGCCTGTTGCTCTGAGGCAGCCAATACACGGACAGTGATTACACTAGGCATTACAGCTTGTGTCTCCTTGTGAGCCTGTTGCCCTATGACAGAGGCAGCCATGACACAGACAGTAATCACACTAAGGCATCACAGCTTGTATCCCCTTGTGAGCCTGTTGCCTTGTGACAAAGGCAACCATGACAGACAGGAATAACACAAGGGCATTACAGCTTGTATCCCCGTGTGAGCCTGTTGCCCTATGAAAGAGACAGCCATGACACAGGGAGTAATCACACTAAGGCATCACAGCTTGTATCCCCTTGTGAGCCTGTTGCTCTATGTTAGAGGCAGCCAATACACAGACAGTAATCACAGTTGTGTCTCCTTGTGAGCCTGTTGCCTTGTGACAGAGGCAACCATGACACAGAGAGTAATCACACAAGGGCATTACGACTTAATACCCTTGTGCTCCTGATGATTCACCCACTTGCAGGATAATAGGTCAATACTTCATGTCCAAGGAGGGTGACCTGTGCATTACTACTGAAACAGTTGACCTGAGGTCACAGCTAATCTAGCACCTGGAGCCTACTAGTGGTCAACTCAGGCCACTGACCGATGTGATGTCGTTCAGACAATTTTACATTAAAATGAATTAGTTTGTATAAGATTGATTAAAACATTTGTAATCATTTTAAACATGACATAAATGAATACATTTTACCACACTTTCCCCATGGGATTAAATCTTTGACATTTCTAAAATCTAATTGTAGAAGTGTGTGGACTCATCCTACAGATGACATCCTTACCCTGTCATTGGTCATATGGACAAGACCCATGAAGAATAGGTCTTCAGCAACCCATGCTTGCCGTAAAAAGCGACTATGCTTGTCATAAGAGGCGACTAACGGGATCGGGTGGACAGGCTCGCTGACTTGATTGATGCATGTCATTGTATCCCAATTGCGTGGATCATTGCTTGTGATTTCAATCACTGGATTGTCTGTGCCTTACTTGATTATTTACAGACCACCGTCATATAGCTGTAATAGTGCTGAGTGCGGCGTTAAACAACAAACAAACAAATCATATGGATAAAGTATTGGATCACAAAGTCAGTGGTTCAAATCCCATAAGTTCTATTGCCACTACAAAAATATCAGTAAAGTTGCTCCCATCAATACATACATGATTATCTGAAATCACTTTCAAATTTAGATGGGAAACTAATTCTTACTAACTGGTTCCACAAATTTAATATTTTCATGAGTAAATTAGATTTCATTTCATCTGGTCCCTTACACAGCCCAGTATGTGCCTCCCACAGGAGGGCTGAACCAACCTGACTATTGTAGTACTCATTATTTACCTGCCAATAACAGCAAGATATATCAACAGTGAAATAGATTGTGCTAATGGGGAGAGTTTATTTGGTAGTAAGCACTGCAAGTTTGACTGAGCTGAACATACCAAGGGAAGCAACTCTTGCAGGCATAGCTACTGTTAAGTCACATGATGCAACACTGTCACTATTTACAAGTAAAATATTGATTAGTAATATAATTTCCAGAAAAACTGAGGCTGTCTCGGTGCTGTGCTGAGCTGGCGACTGAAATGGGATCACGGCAAATGATTTCCCGCGAGAACCATGGCAGGTACAAAAACACTGAGACAGGTTAAAGGGGAGGGGAAGGAAAAACTGCCAAAGTCTGTGGGTCATGACTCCCTAGGACACAGGAAGTTAATAATGCACTGCAATATGAAAGCAATGTGGAATTTAATTATTCACGGAACGTCCAGTAACCAGCAAGCACAGCTAAGAACCTCTGGTTTCACCGAAAGTCCAGTTACCAGCAGGCTTGGCTACCAACCATGTGATGAAACCAATCACAACAATATCTATTTAAATACATCTCATTACAACATTCAGTGTTTTCACCATCTGGTTTTAAAATAATCAATTTCCACCAAACACAATTTTTATGCCACTTCAAGAGTGAGTGAGTGAGTGAGTTTGGTTTTACGCCGCTTTTAGCAATATTCCAGCAATATCACGGCGGGGGACACCAGAAATGGGCCCATTGTACCCATGTCGGGAATCGAACCCGGGTCTTCGGCGTGACGAGCGAACGCTTTAACCACTAGGCTACCCGACCGCCCCGCCACTTCAAGAATTGATCAGTCATTTCAACCAGAGATGAAAATCTCACATCTAGGAGCTACTGTCCAGATATTATGCAATAACCCCAATTTAAACAAACTGTTTTAGAATTTAATTTCTTAATGTAAGAAAGCAGTGAGTTCACTGTGTAAATCTGTGTAGCAGAATTACATAACGTGGGCACACCCATTTTTATGTTCATTATGCAATAGATGCAAAAACATATTAAAATCAATTCTTAAAAATTAATGTGTCAACCTTAATACACTGCATATTTAATCATTAACACACACAAGGGGCGGTCTGGTAGCCTAGTGGTTAAAGCGTTTGCTTGTACATAGAAGACCCGGGTTCGATTCCTGACATGGGTAAAATGTGTGAAGCCCATTTCTGGTGTCCCCCGCCATGATATTGCTGGAATATTGCTAAAAGCGTAATAAAACCATACTCACTCACTCTTTAACACACACAATACAACACAAGGGTAGGTAAACATTTGTCCGAAAAAACTTCAAAGCCTTTTCAAGGCTTTTTCAAGGAACGTATAGTCAAATTAAAGGCAAATATGATCCTGGATCGTATCGCATTCATTGGGCAGAACACTTGCAATTCAACCAGTCATCACCCAAACAGGGTTTTGAAAATCAGCAAAGAGGTTTAAGTTACTTGTTATCATGCAGCATTATTGTACATGTCACGGACATTCGCAAGCACTCTTATATTCAAATAAATAGCAAAACAAATTATGCATGTAGTTAGGGTGCAATTCAAGTTCTTTTCAAGTCATGTGGTTTATATTGAAGGCCTTTTCAAGGCAAACTAAAATTAAGACCTTTTCATGCCTCGTGCGCATCCTTAACACAACAAAATTTTGCAAAAAGCAAAACCAGGTTCTCATTTTATCGTCAGCCAATCAGATAACAGTAATCTGTTAGTGAGCATGATCTAATTCTTTTTCAGTCCAAGGAAACATAAACACACAAAAATGTGCTTCATTAGCCAATCAAATGCCACAGAATCACATGCAATTTATATATTATCAAATAAATACCAAAAATAATGTGGTTTTCCATTAGCATGCTGTTTCAAGTCAGTCATTCGAAACTCAGGATCTTGTTTATAATGGTACTCTCTGTACACTATTAATCTCTGGACGACAGGTGGGTGAATCTTCTATTGGGAGTTGAAAGAGGAAACAAATTATCGATGTATTCACTCTACTAACAATAATCATGGTAATATGTACGGGAAATCTGTCACACAAAGAGGTGAGATTATTTCAAGTACCTTGACTTGTAATGGATATTTTGAACTGTGTCTAGCTGGGTTCAGACTTATTGTGAGTGGACATGCGTGAAGCCTGTGTGGGTGTGAGAACAGTGTCCAGCTGGGATCTCCGGGATAAGGTGTTCCCGGAGACTGGTAATCTTCAGACTTCCCTGCCCCATCCCTAAGCCAAAGTAACATATGACTCCAGTAAACAATCCTTAACGGTATTAAGGTCTTCAGGCTGAAGGAATAATGTGCAGATGCAGTAGTGATACAAAGGCTCTTAAATTAAGGGTCAGTCACAAAACTGAGGAAACTGAAACTAACTGAAATCAAGCTAGAATAGTAAACTGTGGATGGTGATTCTGAGACACTATTTACACATTAACTACTCAAAAGACATGCCATGACAGATTAACTATAGTCATGTGATTGAATGTTCGTTTGTTTGTTGTTTAACGCTCCACTAAGCAATATTCCAGCTATATGATGGCAGTCTGTAAAATAATTGATTTTAGACCAGACAATCCAGTGATTGACATCACGAGCATCAATCCACGCAATTGGAATACAATGACATGCATCAACCAAGTCAGCGAGCCGGACCACCCGTTTCCGTTAGTCGCCTCTTATGACAAGCATAGTCACCTTTCACAACAAGCATGGGTTGCTGAAGACCAATTCTAACCTGGATCTTCACAGGTCTATAGTCATGTGAAAACAATTAGGTGTCACTTGTTTGATAGGCATTACTTAGAAGTTGGCGGATGACAAGATAGACACAATTTTATGGATAACAACTTCTTTAATACTGTATTAAAGAAGTTGTTATCCATAAAATTGTGTCTATGTTGTCAATTAGGTGTCAGTATATTTGCTGATACTGGTGTATCATGGAACAATAGTTTAGTAGCATACATAGTCGTGTACTTTCATGAGAAGTTAAATAAAGTGTGCTACATTTACATGATGTAGGTATGGAGGCTGAGAATAACAACTCATATTCACCTTCTGTCAGGGATATATTGATATGTGTCCGTGGTGTGATCATGTCCCTAGGGATGTAATGATTCATCAAATAATTGATGCATCACAACCATTGATGGT